GGAGCTCAGTAAATGTTCCATAATAGCAGCAGTAATAAGTGTATGTGTGGGGTTTTTTATGCTTGAAAGTTCCTGGACACACAAAATCTAGGCTTAATGGGACCTCGTAAAATGCACTGGGAGATTTGCCAAAGCCCCAACTATGTGGTGCTATGCCCAGAAGGAAAGCCAATGGTTTCAGTTTCAAGAAAGATTCAGTTGCTAGAGTATATATGTTTCAGAAAGCATAATTACCTTGGGTTCAACATAAATTCACCAATTTCAGTAAGGGTGGCCTGATTTTTGTAGTTAGAATGGGAGTCAGGAAATTACATTGGTTTGAAATTCAAATAAATTGGTTAAGAGACTTTCACGCACATGCATACCAATGAAGATATGCATATATGTACAATTAGAAAGACTTAAATGGGACTAAAATGACATATGGTATAAGAATCATTTCTGGAAAGTATTCACTATTCAGAATTCTTATTTTGGCGTTTACTAGATTTAATTAGATTCATTTCAGACACAAGTAGTTAGGGGTTAGACTAAGTGGCCTCTAAGGTCCCTGAATCTGTGGTCCTGGACCCCCTTCTCTCATTGTGCAGAACCATCAGGTTCCCATGGGTTTAATTATCATCTCTATGTGGATGACTTTCTGATCTCTATATCCATTCTGACTCATGCCTGAGCTCTAGTTCCACATCACCAACTGCCTATTAGACATTTTCATCAAAGCCCCATAGGCATCTCAGATTCAGTAAACAGAACTCATTATCTTTTCCCTCAAACTTGATCCCTAGAATCACCATCCTTCCAGTCACCGGGATCACTATCTCACTGTGATCTTCAACTCCACATTTACTCACTCCACATACCTATGTACTTTCTACATCTGTTACATTTCTTGCATCATCCTTCCATCCACACAGACATCACCCTAGTCAAGGTCCTTATAATCTTGGGACTGATCTATCACAATAGTCTCTTAGTTGGAGTCCCTGCCTTAAATCTTCTTTTTTTAATTTTTAAATTTTTTTTTAATTTTTAGGCAATTGGGGTTAAGTGACTTGCCTAGGGTCACACAGCTAGTAAGGGTCAAGTGCTTGGTCTGAAGCCTAATTTGAACTCAGGTCCTGCTGACTTTGGGCTGGTGTCTATCCACTGCACCACCTAGCTGCCCCCCTGCCTTAAATCTTGACCCACCCCAATCTATCCTTCACACAGCTACCAGTGACTTCCTAATGTGCACATATCCCTTACTCAAAAAAACTCTAGGTGCCCCTTATTACTTCTAAGGGCAAACAGATAACCTTTTCATGGAATTTAAATTTCTTTGCCACCTGAACCCATTTTACTATACCAGCCTATTAAACATCACTCCTCTTCACACATGGTATATATATATGTAGTCTAGTGAAACTGACCTCCTTACTCCATTTCCCACCTTCGTGCTGGCCCCCCATGCCTGGGACATACATCCACTTCTTGGAATCTAATTTCCATCAAGGCTCAGCTCAGATGCCCATTTCTGGAGTCAGGAAAATCTGAGTTCAAATCCAGCCTTGGACACTTACTAGCTGTGTGATCCTGAGTAAGTCACTTAATCTCTGTATATCTCAAATTATAAATAAAAATAAAACTCAACTACAAATAAACAAGTTTCTTCAACTATAAAATGCTTCAAATTATAAATAAAAATAAAACTCAACTATAAATAAATAAGTTTCCTCAACTATAAAATAACAACAGCACCTACCTTACAGGGCGTTTGTAAGGATCAAATGAGATATTTGTAAAAAACAAAAATCTGTAACCACAGTGCCTAGCACATAGTAGGCTTACTCCCTCCCCTTCCTCTCTCTCTCTACCTCTGGTGCCCTAGCCTCTAAAAACTACCTTGTTTTTATTTCGTATCTACCAGCATATGTACACAGTTTCCCCCAATAAAATGTGAGCTCCTCATGGGTAAGGACTGTTTTATCTTTATAAGTACCTAGCACCATGTCCGACACATAGTAGGTGCTCTAACAAATGCTTGTTAACTTACTGACATGATCAATTATCATGCTATCTCTTGGATACCTACATGTTCATAATCCACATTTTATGGAACACATGGTCATTCTCAAAGCGTAGGCCTACACTCATGCAATGTACTATTCTGGAAAATCAGAAATAAAACATGAGCCCAAAGGCCCTAAACATTTATGAAGAATATTATTTGTGTGGTCTGGCATATGCAGTGACTTTCACAATAACAAACACTGTTGTGTCTAAATGGGGTTCACTTTCAACATTTATACATCAGTAGTTCAGAATCTATGATTCCTTCAAGGTGGGTACTGAGTGCAGATTGTCCCAGGTTGCAATTCAATTTCCAATTCTCATCCATCTGTAATTCCTGTTCAAGTTTCCCCACACATCCTTCATAAAGGACATATCAGAGACCTTCCTATTTTTTAACAATTTGTACTTGTGTAATAAAGGGCAATCTAGTAAAAAGTCTTAATGGAGAAGTAAGCTTTGGTAACTTAAAACTTCTGTAAGACTTTTGGAACACTTGAGGTTTACATCTTTTAACTCATGCTCTTGCCCTATGAAAAGTTTATTTAAAAAAAAATCACATCACAAAGATGAGGCCAAAAGAACCCAGAAACTGCCTCAGCTGGTAAATATTTGATGTTCCTGCCCAACAGAGAGATGCACTAATTACAGCCCGCACCAACTGAAAAGACAAGCTAATTTGTAAAACAGGAGGAGCGGTATAGACACCTGTGCTGTATCAGTTACATTTCTCTAAGAAATGGTGATAGCCAGAGTCAATATCTTTCCTTTTGTCCCTTTCCTGTACTTTGGAGATGATATTTTATTTAAATACTTGTAGTAACTGCACACTGTTTTACCTTTATAAATCCCTTCTCCTCCCTAATTTAGTATTGCTTTTCACTTTTGTGCTAGTCAAAGACACAACTGCACACAGCCAGTGGATTCTGACTTATTATCAACTTCCACGTCGATATTTAGTTTTTTCTTGATATCTGGTACCTTGAGAAAGTAATCGTGATGATTGTAAGGTTTCTGATCAGTCTATCATCCTCTGAGCGTCTTTTGTTTTTTGATTCTTGACTCTTTAGAATGTTTTTCACACCTGGTTCTTGAAGAGGACCATGGACATCAGGAAGGTGATGTCTTGACTGCTGCATGCATTGGATTTAAGTGAAGCAGAACTGTGCAAAGTCGTCAGCCTCACTCTCTCCTCCAGAGTCACTGGGGTTTAGTGGCAAGACAAAAGTCAAGTCCCAGATGCAGTGCATGGCCTTTTTCAATTAAAGTCTTTCCCAGGTCTCAGTTTGTCTGAGGCAGGGCCCATTCAATGGACCTCTCTGAGGAAAACTTGTGAGTTAACCTTTTGTTTTGCTACAATATAAAGTCTTCTGGTTTTGCTTAAAATGAGAATGTCTATTTATGTACACAATTTCGTTCTCCCCATAGTGTACTGATTAGGTTTTGGGCAAAGGCTATACATTCAGACTTATTGCTGTTGAATCGTTTCAGTTGTATCTGACTCTTCATGACCCCATTTGGGTTTTCTTGGGAAAGATCCTAGAGTGGTTTGCCATTTCCTTCTCCAGCTCATTTTACAGATGAGGAAACTGAGGCAAACAGGGTGAAGTGACTTGCCCAGGGTCACACAGCTAGTACGTGTCTGAGGCCAGATTTGAAGATGTGTCTTTCTGACTCTAGGCCTGGGACTTTTGTCCACTGGATCACATAGCTGTCCTGCACATTTAGAGTACCAGAAGTTAAATCAATGTTTCTAGGTTGTCTAAAAATGGTGTCATTCTTAGCATCCCCTGCCCTGTTTTCCGCTACTTGGTCACCATTATGGAAGAAACAGAAAGGGGGTTGGCATATTCAATAGTCCTTCTACAAATCTGTTTCTGACGTGATAAATCTTTCGACTATTGTGACCCATAAGCCAACTTTTGAAAATGAGTCTTTTTGTACTCAGGCCTGGGCTTGGTTAGTTGCCATAGGACGTCACCAAATCAGTACTCTGAACCTTTCCAGCCACTTCTTGGGATCTAATTTCCATCAAGGCTCAGCTGAGATGCCTATTTCTGGAGTCAGGTAGAACTTTGTTGAGCTTGTACTGCATTGGTATCTGTAGCACTGAGAATTCAGGGTCGTCTCTATGTTGAGCTTCCCAACATTTAAACATAATTTAAACATAAGGCTTAAGATTCAGACCCGGTGATGGACTCTGCATCAGTCACCTGAAGACCAGCTTAGCTAAGATTAGCAAGGCTCAAACATCATGAAGTTGGTCACCAAGGGATGACCTTTTCTGGCCTTTAACATCTCATGAAGACCATCTACTAAGATGTAGAAAGGCTGTGATAGGGATTGGTGCAGGAAGGACCAACACTGATGAAATCACAGGCCCCTGATGTATTGAAGCAAGAGATGCATTTATATTTAAGCGCAGGGAGTCTCTGATAATTCTTTTTGATGATAATAATAGCTAACATTTTTACAGTACTTCAAAGTTTGCGAACTGCTTTATACATACATACATACATACACACATATTTTTGTGACACACACACACATACACATTCTCATTTTATCCTCACAACCACCCTGGGAGATAGGTCTTATTATTATTTCCATTTACAGGGGAGGAAACTGAGGCTGAAAAAGGTTAAGTGACTTTCCCAGGGTCGCATAGTTGTTAAGAGCTGGGGTAGGATTTGAACTCAGGTGCTGACTTCAAGACCAATATTTTAACCCCAAAATCTTTTACCTACAGAAGGCACATAAGACTGTTAGATTTACTCATTACATATAATGTTATGAACTATTTTTAGAGGTAAATACTACAATGGATGTGCTTTATTATGAAGACAGTGCATTTAGCATGTGAATACTCTGTTATATGGGGCAATCAGCGACCAATGCCATAACTCTCGTGGGAATTTCAAACTATGACGTGACATGGAAAGAAATCTTACCTCCTCATTCTCGATTTTGAGCGTGCCAGTCGTGACTGCAGCTGCTGATACCTGAGCATGAGCTCTGCTTGCACTGGCTGCTGGGCGCTGACCTGACAGACCTGAGAAAGAATCACAGAGCATCGTTAGGCCCGACTTTGGGCTGAAGAAGCCAGAGATTTTTACCCTACTTAAACAGTAGTAATACCACATGAGTCACTGCTGGCCCCTTAAGAATCCCCATTATACATCTCCTATTAACAGCCAGCTCAAATACTCAATTTAAAATTTGCTCCTTTTGCATAAAAGGAAAGAACTATATGCAACGATGTGGCCTAGGTATTACTATGAGAAGGCATCTATGTGGGATCTAGCTCAAAGATGCCTGGAGATTAGGCCTTGATTTTAAAGTTCATGCTCTAGGAACTTTCTTAATGACTGAAAAATACTGTCAAAGAGAGTCACACTGAGGGGGGATAAAATCTCAGATAAATTGGCATGGTGTCTTTCAATTAGACTAAGGGTCAGCCGAGTCATTGAGCCCATGTTGAGCTAGAGTAAGCACCACAATTAAATAAGCATTTATTAAGTGGCTACTATGTGCCAGGCACTGTGCTAAGCACTGGCAATAGAAATAGAGGTGAAAAATCAGTCCTTGCCTTCAAGGAGCTCATGGTCTAATGAATACTGAAGCCTAGGTTTTGGTGCAAAGACATTTAAGCAATATCTACATGATTTCAATGTCAGCACTTTTCACTGGGGTTTTATCTGTTTAAATTTTGTGCCCTCTCTCCCCTAGTTTTGCAAAAGGTCCCCTTGAACCTACACTCTATCCTAGAAATGTTCACAGGCACATTTATTTAGAGATGCAAAGTACTTGAAAGATAATTTTGTTCAACTTCTTTTTATAGATAAGGAAACTGAGGACCAGAGGTGTTAAGTGACTTATCACAGGTTACATTGGTAGTAAATGTCAGGGCTGGGATGACTACTCTACACCCTGAAGGAGTTGTATGAAGGGTATGCCTCCTCTATGGGCTCTTAAGTTCTCTTTGGTTGCTTGGTATAGCCCTTGGGTACAGTTGGAGATGGGCAGAGAAGAGCTTTGGATTCACCCAGTTTCAAAAACAAAATACAGAGTCTGTTTTTGAGTTCAGGAGATGCTGGCTATAGTCATTCCTGTCTAGGACATGCTCTCAACCCATGCCCATTTAAATTTGGTAATGTTTGGAAAATGAAAAGATAGCAACCATTTCCATTTTGTAGCTAAAAACCTGGGTCAATAATGCAATTCAATAAACTAAATTTAATTTACTTGTTAAATGCCTATTATTTACAAAGGCAAAAATAAAATAGTTGCCTCCTAAAAAAGCTTACATTTAAGTCAGCTATCTTCCTGTTCAGAATTTTGTATCTTTTAACAAATGTCTATTGGTTTTCAGCATTTCCAATCCGGTCATTCATCCAGAGAAAAAATGAAATGATTATTAAATTAGAAATATTTAAGAAATAGAATTTTCTGTTTTTAAACCTCATACAGACCTGATCTGATATGAAAAATATAATATTAAATTTAATCTCCATAGGCAATATAATTATCTATCTATATCTATATATTACACAGTCTGTCAGTATATATAACCACAGTAACTGAAATTTTTTTCCTCTGGGTATTATCTTGTACACTTGGTCTATTTTGCTCTACGTGGTAAATGTCAAATAATTTGTTCTTCTACTAGCTGTCATGATTTAACTCATTATCTAAGGACAGAAGGGTAAATAATTAACTCTTGAAATTCACTTCAATTATAATTTTTAAAAAATGGATATAAACAAGAATTTAAGATAGAATATTTTTCCCTGTAATTTTTTGGTTCTACCACTGGGGACATGTTTCCATAAAAACAATTTTCCTTCTCCAACTTTTCCTGCCATTTTAAAATTAGTTCTCCATATGACATTCTTTAAATGGCAGTAAGTACTAGCTGAACTTTGCACAACATTGCAAATAATTTAAGAGGGCGGGCTAGGAAGCTATAATGATAACTTTTTCTAAGACTATGGAATCAGACAGTACAGTAAATTAGTATAAGTGCTGAAAAAGGCAAGAGGAGAATCACTCTTTAGTTCAAGCAGTCAGCAATTACGGACCTCATCACCCATGTGAGACTGAAACTCAAATTTCATTGGCGGGCAGAAGGCGGCAGGGTACATCTCCATGAATCTCTGCTTATCACTCCGGGGCTCTAAATTATCAACTGCATTCTCAATAATATCCAGGCCTTCATGTCTGGAGGTTTCAAGGTTATACTCTGCAGAGAGATATGTTCTTAGGGCTCTGTTCAGACTGGCGTGGTATCCAAGATCACAGCACTGAAGTGGGGAAGAAGCAAAAACAAAACAAATCACCGGAAGGAAGCGATAAAACAGGACTGTTTATATTTTCTATACATACAATGACATCATTGTCCCACTCTATAAAGCTCTCACAAATAAAACCTAGAGGAATGCAAAGATACATGAGTATTTCAGATTTTGCATATTACATCAAACCCTATGAAATCATAGGATCACAGAATTAAAGCTGAAAGGGACCTTTAGTCTAATTCTTCCCACTTTACATGGGGTGAAATAACTGGGATTCAAACCCAGGTCCTTTCACTCTAAATTCAATGCTCTTTCTACTAGATCACGATGTTTCTTCAGAGCATGAGGTAGGGGAAATGGTTAGCAATGACTTTACCCCTCACTCAAATCTTTCTTAGTAATTTCCTCTTTTAACTCTCTAATCCACTTATCATATAATATCATGTATAATAAATAGCTATCCTTCTTGGTGTCTTATTTCCTTAGTAGTCTATAAGATTCCTGAAGGCAGGAATTGTCTTATCAAAACTCTGTGTCTTTTACAGCACCTAAGCATAGTACTCTATATTCATTATGTCCTTAATAAATATTATAGAAAAAGAACTAGAATTAGGGGGGTGGGAAAGAAGAGAAGGGAAGGGAATTAAGTATTTAGTGCCAGTATATTAGACACTGTGCTTTTATACAAATATTATCTCATTTGATCCTTATAACAACCCTGCAAAGTAAGTGCTATTATTATTATTACATGATTACGATATGATACATTATTATTACATGATTAAGTGACTTAGCAAAGGTTACACAATTTGCAAGTGTCTTAGGGTGGATTTGAACACAGGCCTTCCTGACTCCAGTCCCAACATTATACCCATTGAACCTCTAGTGTGAGGCAGTTAAATGGCTCATTGAATAGACAAGAAGGGAAGACAGAAAGGAGGCGTAGGAAATAAAAGCAGAATTAAATCTGAGAAAAGAACGGAAACATTATTTCCCATGGTTCCCATTGGCCTTAGTGCCATCTTCTCTTATTCTACCTTCGAGGACAGGGGCTTTGGAATTCTTGAATCATCATCACTTTTCCATTACCTTTGTCATGTCTTTCTTTTTATTTTCCTGGAAGCTAATTTTAAAAACAGGGTTCAGATAAGTTAGTGACCTACGTGCAGGATGGCTGCTAACGCAGTACTCAAAAGAAAGCTGCTGGGTTTTACCCACCACAACAAAACCAGATCACTCCACTGTAGATTTAATTTGTCATAAAGGAGTAAACAGATGCATAGATCTGTTCACTAGAGCTTCTTTGATAACCTTGTTATATGAGGGTTATCTAAGAACGAGGGATGTTTAAACCTGGACATGAGAAGGCTTAGGGGGACGTGAGCATTGTCTTTAAATATCTGATGAACCACCTCATGAAGGAGAGGGAGTAGAGGTGGTTAGTCCTATTTCAGAACAAAGCAGCATGACTGACATGAGGACGCTGCAGGGTAAAAGAATTTGGCTTACTGAGATAATGTCCAAACTACCTTCTACGTCTCTCAAAGATGAGGCCCTTCAGACTTTGTTGTAATTGAGATGAATTGTTGCCTGGTCTGGCCCTGTTCCATTACCTTCCTCATCTCTCCCCAGGCTTTGGATATGCCACTGCCTTCTCCAAATTGGGAATACCAGTTTGTAATCTCAGTCAAAATATATTGCCATAGAGTAGAAATACTCAACCAGAAAAAAATGCTGTTAGCCCAAGAAAGGGCTTTTTTTGTTTGTTTGTTGTTTGCTTTTTTAGGCAATTGGGGTTAAGTGACTTGCCCATGGTCACACAGCTAGTAAGTGTCAAGTGTTTGGTCTGAGGCTGGATTTGAACTCAGGTCCTCCTGACTTCAGGGCCGGTGCTCAATCCACTGTGCCACCTAGCTGCCCCTGGGCTTTTTTTCCCCCCCCAATCAATAGTTGCAACTAGCCTATTAGAAGCAAATCACTGGTCATCCATTGTGTGGATGACTGGTCACTTGTCCTCAACAGATGAAGGCCACTCAGATATTTAAAAAATGAATTATTGAATGTCTTTTAAGTTTCAGTCTTGGACATATGAACTGAACAAATATCTTTTATTTTTCCTGCTACAAAAAAACCCGCAACAATATGTGTTGTCACATGAAACTCATAGAAATTTAAAAATAATTTTATTTTAAAATTTTTAAATAATTCTCATTATCTTTCAAAAAGTTCAAGCCAAAATAAAAAAAAAACCAAACATCTAGCTGTATATGAAGTGGATTTAAATTTCTCTGGGACAAATGATGTCTTGAATACACCTCACTCACTATCATGGATATTGACAGACTCCTAGTAATCAAAGGAATTAAGCTGCCTGCTGATCAGGCCAGCTGTTTTATATTTTATGAATATGGAATCCAGTGGGACTTGGTAGGAAATTCAGACTGGGAGGAATGAAATTACACAATAGACTGACTGATTTTTTTTACAAAAGAAGCTAAACCTCTCTTTTAGGCTTTTCTGGAAAAAACCCTCAAAGAAACCTAACTTTTAAATTCTAGGTAATATAAGCTGTGTTCTTAGTACATAAAATAAATTATAAAATATATACTAGGTATAAAATTACCAGGTCGAACTTGGAAGAGGGAAAAAATAAGCTATTACAAATAGATCAAAATCACTACATAAAGATTTCTACTCCCAGTACCTAGCACAATGCCTTTGCATGCAGTAGACAACAAATGTTTGTTTAACTGAACTGAATTTCATCAGATAGGCAGATGCAGATATACAGATTTATATTTAGATCTATATATCTGCATCTCTAATGAATTCAATTTAATTAAATATACACACATATACTGAGTCTCAACAGCAATGATCATACATCTTGATTTTTTCTATGACTTCAGTGATGAGGAAGGGAACATGTTGCTTAATAACGGATTAATGAAGCTCCTTAGGGCAAACCTGGAAAACCACAGTAGATAAACAACACACTCATCCATCCTTCTTGCCACAATCAGCTGCTGAATGGAAATGATTTTTTTCTCTAACTCCTCCCATCAGCCTGTAAATAATGAACACTACTGACTCTGAGGCTATCACAGGTTTTTAATTGCCCTTCTTTGGGCTCCTTTGGGGAGGGAGGAGGAACCAACATAATGCAAGTATTTCTTTGTTAAAGGGCATATCACCTGAGGCCAATATTGGAATTTTTTTCTTCCATATCAGAATTTGAAACAAGATTGCATACATTCAGATTCCAGAAATTTGGTTAAAAGGGTCTAATGTAATTCCACAGAGCCTATGAATTATTAATGATGATCTGAAAAGCCAGTCTCTCTACAAAGAGTTGAGTTATAACCTCAGCACATTTAATGGAGTACACGAGAAACCAATAAAAGTGCTAATGAAAACAAAGTTGAGGAGTATTAGAGGATGGAAAATTCTGAAGGGGAATCAGTCTAGCTAATACGGTGACAGGGAAAGTCTTAGAAGAGCTCAGCTCTCCCACACACATGCTTGCAAAGATCTCAAAAGGGGCACCAGATGAGGTAGTGTTCAAGAAATCCAAAGAGAAAACCAGCAGTCCTCCATCAAGCCCAACATTGCACAAAAAGATGTCTTGTGAGCACTGGGAGAAGGATCTTGCAAGGGAAGACATTAACAAGAATGGAGGTAAACTGGTTGGGAGCCTGCCAGTCATTCCCCAGGGGTGAATAAGGTGTGTGAAGGGAAGACTTAGGGCTCACAAAATGCTTTGCAAATATTATTTCATTTGATCCTAACAACAGCCCTGGGAAGTAGCTGCTATTTTCTCCATTTTACAGATGAAGAAATGGAAGTTAATTGCCTTGCCCTGGGTCACATAGCATCTGAGGACAGATCTGAACTTAGGCCTTCTTTTCTTTTCTTTTTTTTTTTTTTTTGGCTAGGCAATGGGATTAAGTGACTTGCCCAAGGTTACACAGCTAGTAAGTGCCAAGTGTCTGAGGCCAGATTGAACTCAGGTCCTCCTGACTCCATGGAGAGCACTCTATCCTTCAAGCCACCTAGCTGCTCCAATTTAGGCCTTCTTGACTACAGAGCCATCATTCCATCCACTGCACCAATTTACTGCTTCCTAAGTAGAGACTAAACAATCTAATCCTAAAGACTTAGCAGGTCAAAGAAAAATAGTAGAAAAAATACAATTTCATCAAAGAAAATGATGAAATGGCATAACAATACTTCTGTAATATAGCCAAAAGTGTGGAGGGAAATTCATAGCTCTACGTCATCAATAAAAGAGAGAAAGAACACTTTTTTTTTTCCCCGTTGGGCATGGAACAAAAAAATGCCAAAAGCAAAAAAATCAAAAACCTCAAGGAAACAGCAAACTAGAAATTATGAAAATCACTTGAAAAATAAAAAATGTTTGCTAATAGAGAGGAATACCAAATTGTTAATATCAAAAAAATGAAAAATGAGCATTCACAATATGATGAGGAAATAAAATAAATTATTAGAAACTACAAGCCAAAAAACTGATAAATGAAATGAATGAACATTTGCAGAAATATAAAATACATTAACAGAACAAGAAAGAATTTTTTAACTACCCCATTTCAGAAAAATAAATGAAAAAATCCATAAACTTATAAAAAGCAAACTAGGGCCAGTTAGATTTACAAGTGAATTCTATCAAACCTTCAGAGAAAAACTAATTCCTATGTTACATAAAATGTTTGCTAAAATAAGAAGGGATTTTGTGAAATTCTTTCCATGAGTACAGTTCTGATACCTAAATCACAAAGAGGCAAAATAAAGAAAATTATAGATATTTCCATATATCATATGTATATCAATGCTAAAGTACCAAGTAAAAATTTTAAAAAGTAGATATAATAACATATTAAAAAAGGCCATACACTATGACTACAATGAAATTATAACAGTGATGCATGGTTGGATTAGTATTAGGAAAATCATAGCTATAATAGGCAATATTTATTAAAAAAATGAAA